TGCTAAACTTTAACTGAATCGCACCAGATTAATCTCACATCTATTCGTCAATGGTACCAGTGCCTTTTGGCTCTCTTTCTCGGTAGTAGGAATGGTGCGATGTAAAATCTATTTTCTTTTTTATGGGCGGCAAAAATCTTTTTTTTTCTTCCTTCGATTAGTCGGCTTTGAAATCGCCTGACCTTCATGAAAACAACCGTCGCCGCCATGATGTCATTTGAATTCAGCAAAAAAGACAGAGAGAGGAAGAAAAAAGTGATATTTCACTTAATTGCTGAGAGGGCTGATGACACGCAGAAGCTATTCGAATTTTGAATATTAATTATTTTTTTTTTACAAATCCTCTTTTTGTATCAACGAAACAATTGGCATTCTCTTCTCATATTTCCTCTCTCTGTACGAAGACTCAGGCAGCTGTGCTTTGGTTGTTTTTTAACAACGACGACATGTTTTGCAAGGTGAACATAGAGGCATAAATAGCATGGGGTTTCCCTCCCGCTGAATGTTGGAAATTTAGCGTTTTCTTGCTAACTGATAGCTGTAAAAAGTCTGCTTTCGTCCTAAAAGTTTCGTGTACTCTCCCAGCTCCATTTTGCTCCCACTTGGGTGAATACGTGAAGATGAGTGCACTGAGCAGCAAAAAAGAAGTCTCATCTCTCATGAAAAATAGTTTGTCTTCATAATTTTATTTTATTACTCAATGGTTTTGTGCTTACTAAGAGTTCCTCTTTATTCCTGAGCAGAACAGGTCTGATGAGTTACTTCTTAACAAGAGAAGAAAACGAATGATACAAAAAAATGTTGGTGACATATGTTGATGCACAGTAAGAGTGAACGATACCATTTCTATTCTTTCTCTTCATCATTCTCAAGAGACAATATTGGACAGTGGAAAGTCTGTTTGTCGCAGACAGAAAAGAATGATATCCGTCTATTCTACGAGACAAGATGACATTTGTGTTCTTATGCAAGAAAATACAACAGAAGGAGGTCGTATCTGTCTTCTTTGGTACTTGTTCATTTTCATCTATCTTTGCAAAATTTAAAAATACTCTACTGAAAGCTGAGAATATTTTTTTAATTTTTCTTCAACATTCTCCTAACAGAAGTTCTAGTTTTCGGCAATTAGTCAGGAAAAAACTCTCTCTGAGTCGCAGAAAACCTTGTCATAAACTTCTGGTTGTCCAGATAAAAATTGATCAAAACATTAGTTCTTATTAAAAGACTATTCCCAAGTAAGCGACACGCTTTTTTCATAATAGTAGGTCGTGCTATTTTCTTTTTTAGAAAGGCCTTAGAGTCTGAAAGTGATGTTTGTAATCTTATCTCGAATAAGAGTGGTTCTCTGTTGGTATTTAATGGTTTTACATACATGTGTTTTTTCACTTTTGTTCATCAAAAATTATATCCGATCGTTTTTTCTGTGTTCCATACTTGCCTTTGCTCTATATGTAAAAAATAAGTCTGTCATATGCCAACGACTTCAATTTCTGTATAAAAGAAGCTGCCCATGTAAAAACAAAATCGCAAAATTTCGGATTAAATTTGATTTTTTGTGAAATCATCATAAAAAATCGATTAAAGATGCCATTTTTTGATTAAATTTGAGAAAATAATTGATTTTAATCGATTTTCTTTATGTAAATCGATTAAAATCGATTTTATTTCCAGAAACCTAAATAATCAATTAAAAACTTAATAGATTTTAATCAATTTTGTGAAACTGACGTATATTTTCGAAGAAAATAGTCAGTGTAATTTTTCAGTTCAAGTATTGACGGCTTCCCTTTCCCTTTCCCCTTTCCAATTACAGACATCTAGCAACGGAGAAAGAGAACATCACAGATATACCCGTCATTACAGGGTGGGGTATGGGTGTGGGTCTTCCCTTCATTCACCCACACCCACACTCACACTCACACCCTCACCCACACCCACCCACACCCACACCTAAGATTGTCTGAGTGCCGATCAAAATTGATGTATTGTTTAGTTTTTTGACTAGACCGATCTAGGACTATACCGAGATTGAAGACTCTCTTGCAAAGATGAAACTTTTCCATAAGAAGAACTCCCAGAATTTCACGAGATCTTTATCTAGAGTTGTTCAGATTGACTTAATTTATATGTAAATTCGACTGTGTAGATTGATTACGAAAGTAAAATGCCAAGTTCTAGCCAGTTTCGGGCAAACAATTGATAAAAAGAAAAATTTTGACCAACATTGACTGAGACTTGGCCTTTTACTAGTGTAACCGAACTGTCCATTTGTATATGCATATAAATTAAGTCAAACTGAGGACATATAAATAGAAATCTTGTAAAGTCTTGAAGACTCCTCGTGGAGGAAGAGTTGCCTTCTTTCCTCGTGTATCTTCAGTCTCAGTATATCTCTATCTGCATATGACTCTTTACTAAGAAGATGAACGTACCTTTAATAACAACTTTTTGTTAGGTGAAGCACTGTCTCAACTCTAAGTCATAGAACCTTTCACGTCTAGGATCAGACAGTACAGAAATCATATATAAGAATTCATACAAGAGGAAAATAACGGGTGCGGTAGAATAATAGATGATCCACTCAGTATTTTACCTCTAACTCATTTTTTTTCATCCGAAGGACATGGTTATATCATAGAAAGATGCACCGTGAAATTCTATATAAAGTGGCCTTTTTCATCTTAGCTCAACATCGTTCATTATACTTTAAGTCGAGATAGTTCCACTTGAAAAAATTATGTACACTTTCCACAATCAGTTATTTTATAGTTTTTTCGACTATAGCTTTTTTTGCCATTTGTCATTAAATTTCATTGATGGTTTGTTTTAGTTGAGAAGCAATCTGGGCTTGTCGATATTCCAGAGATGCCTAGGCTTCCCTATTTCAGTTTAATCAATAATAATCGGAATTTAAAATGCTGTCTCAATGAAAGTTTGCAACAAATGGCAAATAAGGCTATATTAGAAAAAACTATAAAATAACTATTTTTGGAAAGTATTCATAGTGTTTTCAAGTGAAACTATTTCTATTTACAGTACAATGAACAGATATTGAGCTAAGATGAAAAAGACCACATCTTATCGAATTTCATGATGTATCTTTCTATGATAAAATTATGTCCTTTGGATGAAAGAAAGAAGAAATTAGAGATAAAACATTGAGGGGACCATCTATTCTGCTGTACCCATTACTTTATTTTTACAATTTATTATCGCAATACCTTTCCAAAAAAAAAATATGAAAGAAATAAGTATTCATAAGAAACAGCATCAGTAATGTCTCTTTCGACCTTCTTTCTTTAGAATCACTCTTGGATTATCTTTCATAATGGAATGATATTTATCAATAATAAACGTATGCGTCTTAGACCCATTTTTTCTTTTTTCTCTTGCTATGATTCTTCTTCTCATTCTCTTAAAACAAAACATAGCTCTATAGAATGTGGTTCTTTATCTCCTATTCTCTCCCATGTTTTTATTTAGCTATTAGGAAAATATTGCTGAGAAAAGAAGAATAAAGATGTCATTGATGTACGAAGTTACATTATAAAAGAAGAGATGTTTCCTATTTTCGGAGAGACATCTTCGAGCATAGCAGTGCTGACGAAAGATTGTCGATCGTGTTATTGAAAACCAAACCAACTCAATACTATTGTGAGTGAATGATGAGCATTTAATAAATACAAGCAGTAGGTGAAAGTCGCTGCATAATGTAATCCTTCCATTATCGTTATTATGTTTAATTAAAAACAATAATTAACCATTTAAGTATAATACTTTCTTTTCCAAAGGAAGTCTATAGAATGGAGACCAACTCAAGATATATTATCGTTTCGATAGAGGCTAGAAATAATGAAGTAGAATAGGAAGATTATTCAGAACCTTTAACAATGACTCTTTATGCGTCAAGAGACTATAATCATGATAAATACTAACCTCTGGTTATCATATATAATAGCACAACACGAGTTCACTTTGATATATTAAGTTTTTTCATTAAGAACCAGTTTTTATAATTCCCTCACTAATAAAGTTATGAAGTGAAGATCAAAATTTAACAAGACCATGGATATACTGAAATTGACATTTCACTGACACAGATAAGGATGCTTTGTTTTCAATAACCGCCAAGACTGCAAGATGTTTGTTGCTAATTGATCATCTTACTTTCATCTAGCTCTGTGTACTAGAAGCAGCTCGATCACGAAAGAACAAGAACAAATGTAAGTTAATCCTACTTTAAAGCTTAAAAACTTTCATCGAATCTAAATAAGTTGTAGTCCTTTCCTTTCGTGATCCGACTGTCCATAAGTATACAGAGTTAGATGAAAGCAAACGAATTAATTAGCAATAAAGGTTCTGTAGTCTTGGAGATATTTAAAGTCTCGTCCGAGACTCACCGAGAACGAGATGACTGGGACCGAGAGTCTCTGTCCAGTCTCAGTCTAGGTACATCCCTATCTTTAACTAGGTCTACTATTTATTGACAATTGACTAAATTGTAGTGATTTGAAATATGTCACTTGAATGCTATCCAAACTCTTGTTAAGAAAGCAGAAATGTGTATGAAAATTAGTTGATGCTACATGTTTTTATGTATAAATCTATGAAAAGCGTATCAATTGGTATTCTTTTTCCATTTTTACAACTTTCTTTTCCATCTATCCGTGATAGGATCTAAGGAAGATAATAATGATTACAGATTAAGTCATAAGCGACAATTTGCAGATCTGGACCACCTTAGTATTATAGAACATAACAGAATTATACAAACATGATGCTGAGGAAGAAGAGACTCGAATATACCAACTATTTTGCCACTCTCTCATAAATATCAATCGAAATAATATCGCATATCTATTCTTGATATCTACTACACTATTTGGAATATATAATAAACGAACGAATGGTTATCAATAGAGTATCTTTAAAAAAAAATAATTGCACGAGATGAAAATAAATTGCAAAGCGAACAAACAATACAAAAAGATATTTTATATTTAAAAAATTTCTCGCAATACTTTTAATAGAAAACAAATTGCGATCAAATTAAATTTATTCAAAGATAATAATCGTCGAGCATTACTTTGTGTTGGTGTTGTTGTATATATGGTTGATGTTGTCGACGATGTCAATACTGTTGTTGTTTCTGTCGAACTACTACTAGTTGTTATGACCTCAGTAGTAGTGCTAGTAATAGTAGTTCTTGTTGTTGTTGATGTCGAACTAGTTGTAGTAGTTGGATAGAGAGTATCACATGGTCCTATATCAATATCATCAAATGCAACTGCGACTGGTATTGTTAGATGTTGATATGTAATGAAATAAAGCGTCACTTGGCAGACAATGTTTGGTACAGGTGCAATGACTACCTTCCATCCATGACTATCATCCAAAGACTGAGTCCATAAACTTGAACTATCACATCCACCTGTCCATAAACTCACTGTAGTTCCATTTTTGTTTTCTACTGATGACTTAACATAATAAGCAAATCGAACACACATACCTAAATTTGCTTCTACGACTTTCGAAGGATGAACACTTCCAGAATCTCCACTCTGAAAAGGTAAATGTCGATTCCAATAGATAAAACCACCTGTTGTTGAATTACTCGTATGATCTCGTATTGGACCTAATTCTCGATCAGGAATAGTATCACCAGTGACAACAGTGAAATTATATTTAGGGGGATTACTGTATCGATCTTCATTCTTCATATCACACATTGTCAAATTGTCAAAATTACATGAAAAAGAAAGGAGTGCACCATCGGCAGTAAATGTTGAAGGAGGATAATCACACGATGTTACGGAAATGTTATCGAGAGCAAATGAATATGCAATAGTATCAGTACTATCCACACGAAACAATAGTGAATAATAACCAACAGGTAAATTCATAATACTCCAAGTCCTATATAAAACAAAATATATATATATATCAATTCTATAGTTCATTTCAAATACTTACCAACTATTACTTGTATATCTAAAAGTCAATCAAAATGCTGATGATTTATTTTTATTTTCAATATCACTTACATATATTCTCTATAAGTTGGTGGCCATAGTTTTTGTATAGTCTCAGACGAATCTGACATCCATGCATATACTTTCAAATTGGCTACATACGAGCGACCATATCCATAATATTCAAAATTTAAACAAAAAGATTCATTAACTGTAATATTGAATGATGTTCGTAGAGCAAGATATCCAACATTTCCTTTTTCTATTATCTTTGAATTAGGTACAAATGCATAGTGTCCTGATTGATTACCAAATGTAAAATCTACAGAAGGTGCTCCACTTTCGATTTTAGCAGCGTCACTTGCTTTCATAATCGACCATTGATATGGATAATATGGTAATGAGATAATATTATCGACACAAGATGATTCAAAATCACATGTAAATAAGGTTTCCGGAGGTAAAGGACGTGCTCCATCACAATAATCAATAGAAATATCATCAAATGCCAGAGGTTAGAGACCTGCGGAGTCAATCTTTTTTGACTCCGACTCCGACTCCGACTCCGAAATTTTTTTCCTATGTAACTCCGACTCCGACTCCGGAGTTTTTTTTCTAAATGACTCCGACTCCGACTCCGAAAGTTTTTTATGCATAACTCCGACTCCGACTCCGAAAAACTCCGAAAATTTTTCCTATTGTAAATCAGCAGCAGCTCACATGTATGGAGATATTATGTAATTTAAAGTTAGTTTACCATCACAAATCAAGTCTGATTGGCGATTATTGTGCACGAATAAATAGATATGCAAAATATTAGATAAAAAACTAAAGCTGATTAAATTTTCAACCTCTTTTTGAATATTAAATATAAAGGGTGGTCACAAATTTTCGACCCGTGTCTCCAGATTGGCGTTATTTACATGAAATACATATATAGACAGTTGATCAAAGTATACAATTTTGTAGAGAATGATTAGAGCTATTATCTGAAAACAGTTAGTTCAAACTGTGTCGGATTAATCAAAAGTTATAGTCATTTTATTAATCATGACTATGCATTTTCCATCTTACATTTTTGTAAACACAGAAATATTTTTGTAAAGTTTGAAGAGAATTATTGCTTTCTAGATAATTTTATATGTTTGGAGATAGTTTGTCAATTTCTGCAAGAATATGAATATCACAAAGAGTTCTAATCCTATTTCTTGTATAAAACTTGGAGGAAATTAGAAAAAAATAATAAAAATCTCACATATCTTGCATTAGAGAGAGCATGCTTAACTTTGGCTAACTTTATTTGATCGATTGTTCGTCTGTTCTTGATGCTCAGAAAAATCACTGTCACTCTTAGTATGTGACAACACACCTCGAAACATAAATTGACAGACAAAAAAGTTGATCTATTGAAGTTACTGATAGTTAAGTATACTCTTTCAATGTATGATATATCAGATTTTCAATAGTCTTTCTGACTTTCCTCAAGTTTTGTATTGGAGAGCGAATTAGAATTTTTTCTAACATCTATATTCTTGTAGAGCTAGTCAAATTCTATGGAACCATATAAAAATAACTAAAAGAAAACAGACAGCAAACAATATTTTGACTGATCTTAACAACTCAACGAGTACAAGAATACTTTTGTTTTTACAAAAAATGTAAGATGGAAAATACATAGTCATGATTAATAAAATGACTATAAATTTTGATTAGTCCGACACAGTTTGAACGAACTGTTTTCAGATAATAGCTCTAATCATTCTCTACAAAATTGTATACTTTGATCAACTGTCTATATATGTATTTCATGTAAATAACGTCAATCTAGAGACAGGAATCGAAATTTTGTGACCACCCTTTATTTGGAATAACTGCGAAGCTCTTGTCATGAGAAGAAATTGCAAGTCTAATTAAATAAGAAAATGGATCCATCAAAGTAGTACCTAAGAAAGACGATAAAATACAAGTGAAGTTTGGGATAATTTCCACCAAGTTTTCGTTTACTTGACGTTACTATTTTGAAAAATAATGTTATTTAAGAAAAGAAAAAAACTTTTCGGAGTCTACCAAATTTTACATCAACTCCGACTCCGACTCCGAAAAAAAAGTTTGACTCCGGTTCGACTCCGACTCCGAAAAAATCTTGGTTTTTAACTCCGACTCCGACTCCGACTCCGCCGGAGTCGGAGTCGGAGTCATTTTTCGGAGTCTATTGCAGGTCTCTACCAGAGGTACAGCTGAAGTATTTAATCGAATAAATAATTTGATTTTCTCAGCTGGCAATGTGAAATTAATCAATGTCCAATCATTAATTGATGGATCTTTACCATGAATAGAAGCTATAATTCTTGTAAGTTGTTCATCATCACCCTGTACTAATTGAATAGTAAATGGAAGACTGAGACGAGGAGTATAATACCACATTCGAAAACATACAGCTCGATCTATTGATAATTGTAACCATTGTTTTGTTTTTATTTCAGCATTTAGAGTATAAGGTGGTGGTGGAATTATCGGATTATAGAATAAATAATGACCGGAACTGTTATTCAATGTATGATCGTGATTGATAGAATGAGGATGAAGACCATCCGTTAAACCCCAATTACTATCAACGTCAAAATCATTACAAATTGTTTCAAAATCACATTGAAGAATGGCTGTTTGGCTGCATAATATATGTATGAGAAAAATAAAAATAAAAAACAACATGTTGTGCATTTTTCATTGTTCTAAGATAGATTATTTATATAGACAAGATTAGATAAAATGTTGCATATACGTTGTGCAAGAACGAAATCTTGATATATAAAACAGTAACGTCATAAAAATGATAAGAACAACAAGTTCTTTTTTTATTTATTTATTTTACTTTTAGTTTACTAATTGTGTATGTATAAATATTACTCCATGAACTTTAGATCAGTAATTTATTCAATTTTTTTAACCAGCTCTGCATATTGCTAGTTCAATCTGTCCTCTCAATTAGAAGAGGAATTAGAAAATAACTGTGTAAACACTATAAAATGATTTTATTAAACCGAAATGCTTTACAGTCATGAATAAAATGAACTCTATTTTACAATTATAAAGGACATTTCAGAATGCTCTGATTGAATATTTTACAATGATCATCATATAGAGATTTGTACGAGCTATTGTTTATTTTTCTTTATTTAGGAAAAGTTTTATTCCATAATTTACAATATTACCAGTATCCATAAATCGTTCATCTATTGTTGTTTCTATAACATACTATTTAAACATAAACTGTTTAACAATTTTCGATACTGAATTTTCACATAAATGATATTCACCATCCAAATATAATGTTGAACATTCTTATTGTATGAGATGAACAATTCAAAGCAGCCTATACGTATGAACCTTCAAATGATATTATTTTTCGATTCTCTCTTCAGATAAATAAGATATTGACACGTTTTAAAGTTCGTTTTACTTATTTTAATAGCTTAATCTTAATAATGGAAGACAACGTGAAGTTTTATGATCTATAAAGATCAGGTAAAAACTTGTCTTTTGTTTTAATTTCAACATTAAACATTTTCCATCATCAATAAATCTTTATATTATAAAGAAAAATATGATGACAAGAATGACAAAATCATGTTTACAGATAAAATAGTTTTTTATCAAGCTTGTGTAATAAAATATTATTTTAGTTGACGTACAAGTCATCTGTTAAACGAAAATCAATCCTAAAATCATCATAATCATGAGTAAAATAGATCTAATAAATCGTGAACTATGATTCAATCGTCCATTTAATGTTATTGTAACATTGTATTTAAACATAATTTTCTTGAACAGCATTTAATGTTGAATGATCATTAGATAACGATCGATTACATTGAACAACAAATATAGCATGATCATTCGATTGATATATATACTCACAATTGGTCGAGTATTGTATTCTCTATTGATGCATGAACGATTTAGTTTAATTTAATATATACTATGT